CATCAAAATCTCTAAAGGAACTTACAGGATTTGCAGATCTTTCCACCTTAGCAACATCTGTGGCCTGGCCAGATCCTAAGCTCCCTGCCCTAATCTCACTTTGAGGCATATCCACACAGGATCAACTCAGCATCAGAATAATACAGATATGGTTTCCCATCCACCCACCCCATCCAGAACAGTTGTGTTTCTTAGCTAGGGATAAAAACTGGAGAATGCATTAGCCTCAAGAGATTGCTTTCCCCACTTTGTCCAGTGAAGGCATCTTGGGACCAAGCACCATGTTTACCATTGGATCGACAAGAACAGCTGTCATTCACCTGTCATTTAGCAACAACATATATCTGCAGGTGTAGATTGTTCATATAGCCTTAGTCCCATTTTAGTATAAACTACATTAAAGCATGCTAACCCACCATCAGTTCAGAATATGACAAAGTCATATTCATAATAATTTCAAAGATTGAACTGAGTTTTCTCACTTAAAACTGAACCGTACATACCAGAGAGCTATTAAATAAATAACTCAAATAAACAAAAACAAAAACGATATAACAATGGGTTTTCATATTGCACAACTAAACAGCACAGCTCAGGTTTATGGATGTCCACTCAGGAATACACCCTATATATATTCATACAGTTTTTCTGAATAAATGCTCACAAAATTGCCTCTTTAAATAGATCAGGATAAACCTCTATATTGTATTCTGTTTCATTTTTAATAGGATTGTTTAATAACTGATCAACTGAGAACATATAAAAAATTCACATTCTGTAAAATGGAAAGAAATGCAATTGTTTGTTCATGTATTTTCTTATTTACTTACTGGAGTTAATAAGTCACTCCAATCCAATAAGACTCTGACCATGAACAGTATAAGTAACTATTTGTGTTAAATAAACTGGGCTTTCCAAAGTAATATGTCTGGAAGTTCAGTTCAATGCTCCCCACCCTCTCTCCCTCCCCACCCTCTCTTTCTTTCTTTCTCTCTCCCTCCCTCCCTCTCTCCTACCTGCAGAATAAGATAAACAATGTCTTTTACAGCTTATTTTCTATAATTTTTAGTTTTAATATTCCACACTGAATAAGTGAGATAGTTATTCCATACTGAATGCTAAGCACTTTTACCTATCAAGTAAGGATCTTGAATGAATGAATTTTTTGCTTAGTCCTTAGTCCTTCTGAAATGGCTACTGTCCATCCTAGCTGACAATGATAAAGGTTGAAATTTGACAATTTACTAAGACATTACAAAGGGGAAGATTATTTAGATCTTGTTCCATGAAGTGGTATGGGCGCTCCTTTATATTATTTCCATCTGGATTCCTAAATCCTTGAAGGTTTCTTCCTTCAGGCTCTCAAGTATATACTCAGCAGAACTTTCTCTGAGGGTGCCACAACCTATCTAGAAACCTGTCAGAAATTTCCAGAGTAGTTTGGTTTTAGTGCTAACTGCTATGATGTCCTTAGCTTCTATTCTAAATATTTTATGATCATGCTACCTTGGACTTCTGGAAGCTGTACACATCTGGAAGGTATCAGGTCAGGGTGATCTGCCTCTCTACAGATGTTCTTTTCCAATGAAATAATTTCCAGAGCAGCTAATAGAGAAACTTCGTGGTTCTTCAGAGGTTTTTCATCTGGTGCAAAAGACAACTGCCCAGGAAATATACCCTATTTTCTCTTTGTGTTCAGCCTTCGAAAGTGGAGATAATGTAACAGATGGGCAACATTATACAAGGCTGTGTACATTAAGAAAAGAACTGCACCATAGAAATGTTGCAGAAGAAAATTGATGGATTGGGCACTGGATAGGCAACCTTCAAGGCTATGCAATGGCAGGTTCTGAGGGAAGCCATCTTCTGTGTATGTTTCATGATATGAAAATTCCCGTCACTGTGTATATTGCTCGCAGATGGAACCATGTATTTAGGTATATAAAGCAATATATTGGTACTATTCATTTAGTTACAATTATAAATTCACTTGAAAACCATAAAATATACTTCTAACTTATTGCATCAACCGTAATCATAATAATCTCCATTGTATTTTAACTACAATACTAGCAAATGAGTTACCAATTTAATGGTTGATAGCAGCAACTTTTTGAAAACAGTAATGGAATGCAAAAGGAATTATCTGTCACTCTCTAGTTATATTTTTCTATTAAACCATTACTTATTATACATTTAGATTGTGCCAAACGCTCTCAAAAGTCAATAATTGAAGAAAACATGGAAAATATTTTCAGGTAGCAAATAACCAGTGAAATGCAAACACACAGATACAACTTTCATACCTACTGAAGTGAAATCCTAATAGTGCCATCTTATATTAGCACACCTTGTTTAGTTTGCAGGCCTGGGGGGTTATAACTGAGTTTCTCAAAGCCATAACATTTTTATAACTGCAGAAAATGGAATGACTATCAACTATAACTAAAACATTGCAAGAAGGCATGTGCTATCTTGGGGATGTATATCTCTAAATATTGAGTTAGGATATGAGTGCTAGTTTTTTATTATTAAAAATGCTTCTTCTTCAACAAGTGTTCCCTATGAACAGGGACCAAAGAGAGACAGTAGGACAACACAAGTTTAACATGATCATCCAGTGGGAAAAAATCCATTACTGCAACCAAGACATAAATCAGAGAAAGATAGTTTATTTAGGACTTCAATTTGATTTGTTTGGGCAATACAAGACTTACTACCAATAAAATATACAAACGATCCCTCTAATTCTTAAATGCTAGATTTCAAAAAGAGTTCCTATAACTCAATTTTAACTAGTTTACCTGAGAATTATTTATAACACCATTATGCACCTCTCATTCATAATGTTCATAAAAGATTGTGCAGCACATATTTAGTTGACAGTGCCCTTCTCATTACTTCAAATAATCAAGTTCAATGAGCCCTCTTCTTCCATAAAACATGTGCAAAGTTGTCCCAACAGGTTAATCTAAAAGTTTACTTTATCTTTCTCAGTGCCTTTTTATTTTTAACGACTGGCCCACGTGCATGCACACACACACACACACCCAAATACCCCACTGCCTTAAGAAGGGAATGGATAAAAAGAGGAAAAAGAACCTTTCTGAGATTAGATACAAAGTCCACTTTGGGAGCAAAATTATATTTGCAGGTTGCAAACTTTCTACCAATCCACTTGTGAACGCTCTCCTCTCCCCGTTGAGATACACGCTGTGTAACTCTATGCTAAACTCTATGCACCACCGCCTGTAGGTTTGTGTGTCTGTGTGCGCGCGCATTTCAAATTTTGAACAGTTCGATGGGGTGTGGGGGTGGGGGATAAAACGCTGCCAGAATCCTGATTCCAATGAGAATCGCTTGGTCCTTTGTGGCATATGACCTCCAAAAGGTTATTGTAGCAAGTGGTGCCGTTATTGATGCCGCTATGGTAGCAATTGGTGGCTATTACCGCTTACTTCAGTTGGTTCTGGTGCTGCTGCTGCTGCTGCTGCTGCTGCTGTTGTTGTTGTTGTTGTTGTTGTTGTCGCCGCTGCTCCTGCTTGGGTCGAGTTTTAATGGTGGCTCTGGCCCCTTCCGTGGTCCCTCCCAGAGATTCACACCCTCTCCGCCCCCGCCCTTCCCTGCCAGCTCCCGAAGAGTTTGTACTTCTCACCTCCGGACGTCACTCCTCAATTGCGCCATGCAAATCAACCCCCGCCGGCGCCCTCCCATTGGCCAAGGCAAACTCATTTAATCCCAGTTCGGTGCGCCTTGTATGGCTGCTGGGCTCGCCTCTCGCCGAATCTCTCGGCTGCTCCTCCTTTCCTGCTTCCTCCGGGCGCGAGGAGGGAAACCACCGAGAACAAATTATTGTGCAAGTTCTGCTCCCTGGCTGGAGGCTCTTTCTTTTCTCCTCCCCTTCTCTTCTTCCTATATTCTCCTCTTTCTTTCTTTCTTTCTTTCTTTCTTTCTTTCTTTTCTTTTCTTTTCTTTTCTTTTCTTTTCTTCTCTTTCTTTCTCTTTCTTTCTCTTTCTTTCTTTCTCTTTCTTTCTCTTTCTCTTTCTCTTTCTCTTTTTTTTTCTTTCTTTCTTTCTTTCTTTCTTTCTTTCTTTCTTTCTTTCTTT